TTATTTATTTATTTATTTATTTACTTATTTATTTATTTATATATTTATATATATATATATTTATTTATTTACTTGTTTATTTATTTATTTAGCAGGCATAATTTATTAGGAAGACGGTAATTTAGTGGAAAAATTATAAACAAATTAAATTAAATAATTCTTACACTAATATTTACCGCTTTTAATCTGCATATTTTTTTTTACAATATCAATTAAAAAATAAATAAATTTAAAAAAAAAAAATTTCCAGTGATTTGGCTTATATTATTACATCAACAGAGGCTTCAGCAATACAAACGGATGAAAATTCCATATGGTCCGATTTAAATGAATCAAAAGCGCTCACAAATAGCTTAGAAAATTGTCCACCAAAGGTTTGCCATTCCTTATATGTTGTAATTTTTTTAAAACCACTACAAATTATGCATATATTATGCTATTATTAATTTTATCAAAATGATCGATCAAAGATCATTCAAATGTATTTATCAATGAAATATATCATATTTAAAAATTAATTTTTTAGGAGGAAAAATCATGGAAATGGGATGATGAAGGAAATGAATGGAATTTGAAAAATTTAAACAAATCAACTATTATCAGTGAAATTCTTCCAGAACATTTACAATTTCAATCAATTACTGATTAATAATCATACAGTAATGATAAATATGATCTTTTTTTCTCTATCATAACAAAGCAAAAAAAAAATTCCTTTGGAAATTTACAAAAAATGAAAAGAAAACGAGAAAGAAGAAAATAGAACTATAATTATTATTGTTATCACTGTTATCACATGAATATAGTGAATGGAATGATAGCAATTTAAAATGCTAAAAATTTTGAATAAAGTTTTTTTCTTTTTTTTTTAAAAAAAATGGACAAAGCTAAAATATTGACTAAAATAAAAGGAAAGTGTCGGATTTTTTTTTTTCGAATTTAAATATTTGATATTAAATATATTTATTATGTAAATCAAGAAGATAACATAAAAGTAATTAATTAATGAGTAAAGAAATAACGATAACATGTTGATAATTTGAAATAATGGTTATATTATATTGATAAAATAGTGATTTTAGTAAAATGCACTTAATAGATTTTTTTTTGATTGAAAAAAAAATAAATTTCAACAAAGTTTTACGAGAAATAATTTTTTAATTTCTTAAAAAAATATTTCATTTTAAAAACTAAACTGTAATTGTGACAATTTTATTAAATTATAACACAATTTATAGAATGTATTATTAAATGCTTATTGAACAGATGTTGATAAATAAACTAATATAATGAAAGAAAATATTAATTAACATAATTGTGAAACAATAAATCAATTAGCATAAAAACAAATATAGGAAGCATATTATTTAATGATATACGATATAAAGGTAATTCAATAAAAAAAAAAAAAAATGGAAATGTAAAATTGCACATTTATTAAAATAAATTTAAATTTCTCTATTATTCTAAATAAAAATAAGAAAAAAAGGGAAAGAAAGAAAGCGCCTAATTATAGCATTTGAAAATTTAATAAATTAAAAATAAAAAAGGAAAAAAAGAAATCATTTTTATTTATTCTAACAAAAGTAAAAAATAAAAAATAAAGAATAAATTATAAGATTTTCAAATGATTGCTTACAATAATTCCATTTCCAATATTCTGAAATAGTTAATCGAATTTAGTTTTTTTTTCTGGATTAAATAAATACATAAAATATATTTAAAGGTATAAAAAAATTATTGAATAATTTTTGCCGCTTTTTTTTTCTTTGCTTTATTTTTCTAATTAATAATAATAATAACAACATTGAATTGATTGTATTATTTTCGTCAATGCATCGTTTGTTTTTGATGAAATCCGCAAATGTCATTTGAAATTTACTAATTCAATTTACTAATTCAAAAATTTAATTAAATTATCCTACCTATTGTATTATTACAATAATTATTGTCTAAAATATACTTTCATTTAATCATAAATAAAACTACTCAAGTATTTGAACAATTTTATTTCAAGTACTCAACTTTTCCTATTTCAAGCACTACTTTTTACTTCAAGTACTATTCAAGTATTTAAGTGCTTGAATATTTTTATTGGACACTTTGATATTTTCATTGAATATTTAAATATTTTTATTGAATGCTTAAATACTTTGAATGATATATTTAAGTATATGATATCAAAGTAAGAAAAAATATATAAACGATAATATTTTTCAACTGATATCAATAAAATTTCAAATAATAATTAATAATTGCAAAGACTAATATCACGATGAAAAACAAAGAAAAGGCAAAATTAATTTTATCAATTTTAAAAAAAAAAAAAATTTGCTGTAATTTTTATTAATAATACACTTTATCATTTATCATTTTTCAAATATGAAAATTTTTATAAATAAAAAAATTCCACTAATTCAAAATATATTTTCATTTAATCATAAATAAATAATATTTAAATATATGATTTTTTATTTTATATATGAATAATATTTTTAAAATTTATACAAGTAAACAGATAACAATATTTATTATTAATATGCAAAGATAATTCAATGATGATTGATTTTATAAATTGATATGAAAGAAAGATTAATTTAGGATGAAATATTTTTAAAAACTGGTACTGCAATGAAAATATTTCATCTAATTGATTGTAACAATTTACTTATCAAGATTGATGATCAAGGTGAGCAGGATTAATTAAACAAACCAGTTATCGATGATAGATTTTGATTCAATCAACTTTATTGAGAATTCATTGTAGTTAATGCTACGGTGATTTAATCTTTAATTGATAACACCAAATTTTAATTGTAATTAAGTAATGTCGATTACAAATAGATTGATAATCATGTTCACATATTTAAAATTTCATCCACTTATAAATTTATTGAATTGTTATAAATTTGATTATCAATTATGCCTTATCATTTCCTAATAATTAAATTATTTGTAATGATTTTAATTTATGATGTTATGATTTAATTATGCAATTTGTAATAAGCAGATAAATTTTTCATACGATTTTCTCGTTATTACTAATTTAAAAAAAGAAAAAGAAAAACGAAAAAAGAATTTAGCATATTAGATGACAAGGTGTTAATTGAATTTAAATATAAATAATAGAAGAATTGAATATTTAAATCGCATCACATTTCATCCCCCAATTAAAATATTCGAATTCGAAATAATTTTATTAAATATGCGATAAAAATAATCGTTTAAAAAGTGATATCATATTTTGTCCTTTTTATAAACTGTTAATCCTTTATCATTTCCAATATATCATCTTATCTTTTAATTATATGATTATAATATTAAAAAAAAAGAAAAACAGAAGTTGAAAAAATTCCACATCATGAAGTTTACATCATTCAAACTAAAATAAACCAAAAAAAAAATACAAATAAACATAAAATGATGTACAAATTTTAAAAATTAATTCAAATATTTGCAGCATACTGTAACATATTTCATATAATATTAGAGCAAAGATCATTAATAATCAAAATTTTTCAAATAAAATTCATTTCGAATAAATTTTTTGTCCTAAAAAAAAGAAAATAACTAAAATTTAGTTATTTATTATTCGAGTACACTACAATCAAAAATGTATAATTGTAACAGAATCGTAACTGAAGGAATAACAATCAGAAATCATATAGTTATTATCATACTATTCTGAATATATC